ATCTCTCTCTCTTCTTCTCTCTCTCTCTCTCTCTCTCTCTCTCTCTCTCTCTCTCTCTCTCTCTTTCTTTCTCCTTCCCTTCTTTCACTTTCCATCCGTCTGTCTTTGGCAGAAGGTGCGATCGGATTGCGCGGCGCCGTGCTTTAGGTCGAATGCGCACGAGACTGAGAGTCCAATGAAAGTGGCTGCGAGAAGCAGGGAAGAAGCGATGGAGTTGGAGAAAATTTGATTCCCGCTCGCATTCCGCAGAAAAACGCAAGAAAGTAATAGTGAGCGGAATTATTTGTAAAATTCGAATACATGTGAAACTTGAAAAACGAGAAGAAAATTTAATAAAATAGAAATAGGAGAAGCTAATAGATCAGATAAAAGTTGAACAGATTCGGCTTACGTATATATCACATTTCGAAAACAAAAAGAAAAACAAAAATAAACGGAAAAAAAAAAAAAAAAACTAGGAAGTAGAACAGGAAATGATTTGGTTCATTAAAATTTAAATATATACATTTATTTTAAAAATATAAAAATTTTTGGAAATATATCTTTCTCTTTCTAAGAAAATTAATAATTAAATAAATAAATGGCATAAAAAATAAATAAAATCATGGAAAAAACCAAACCTATTGAATAAGAAACAAATTTTTTATCATATCAGAAGCAAAAAAAAAACAAAAACAAAAACAAAAACAAAATATAAATAAAATATTCAGCATCTTAGAATGTGTAAAATGCCAGCACAGCTGATTGATTATCATCATCTTTTAAAAAGCATGAAAACAGTTCCATCATTACCCAAAGATTTTGTTGATAAGTCCGAAGTCATTAATCGATACTTAATCAAGATATACTACTTCTAATTCTTGCCAGCTGTGCAATTAGATAGTTTACCTTTACCCACCCAATTTACCTAAAAATAAGATTCACATTTACAAAATTAACTATGGTAAGGTGGAGTGTACAATGGTGTACAATTTCAAGGATTGAAGTAGATACATTTTATCAGAATGGTACTTTTCTTATGCTTATAGATTAGTTCGTCGTGTATCAACTACAGCATCCACGTGACTACCGTTTCATATTCATCAGAAGCTATAAATAAGAAGATTACGTTCTCGAAAATCATTTCTCGTATATGTTTCCGTCGATATAAACATACATAAATGTCGCAGTCAGTGGATCTTGCGAGATATAATGCTTGTCTGCGTAAAAGTTGAAATATAACACGATGTAAATATTAAAATTAATTTCGGTCTTTTCATCCGATCAACACTTGTATATGCAATATATATGAATTTATATAAATCTTAAATTTATTTATCTGCATTGAGCGAATATCATAAAATTATTTGTACTTTATCAAATAACGTATCCGTTCGCCCCCTTTTTTTATGATACAGCGATTATCAAGTTATATTTTCGAGTCAATTGCGAGATATTTATAACGCAATTAGCAAAAAACTATTCATTTTCCTTCATTAAATTAATAATCTAAAAAATTATTAATTCGAATATATTTCTTATTTTTATATAGCAAAAGAAAAAATAAGTTGCTTTTATTTGTGTGCTTATATTTTTTTTATTTCTTCATTATATTTAATAAAAAATCCGAGAAAAAAGGAGCATCCAGAAGCAAAGTAATCAAATGTAATGAGAAGAGCAGTTAAGAATATTATATCGCAAGAGAAGTTAAGAATATTATATCGCAAGATAATTTAAATCGAATGAATTAACTTAAGGGCCTCAAACTTCTTGTGTGCGTCTAAGAACGGACCCATGGTGCGCTCAGGTCGGGGAATTTTAGAAAAAAAGAGCATGCATTCCGAGACAGTCGATCGTTCCGGATACGGTTTAAAGAGACGGCGCATCACAGATTCGTTCCTCGAAAATATCCCATTTTATAATTCATTTTCAACTCCGAATATTATAGAAAATTTCTGTAATATTTCTGTAACATTTCCGTAACCAGAACAATACAAATGTAATTGATACAATCTATTCTTTTTTTTTTGTTAGATTGATTACGGCGCTTCTTGATGGCTTTTTAGTTATCATGTATGTACTTTTATATATTTAAAGTTCGCTAATAAAATTATAAATTATAAAATTTTTAAATTATTCAATAACATTATATGTAGAGACATGTGTTCAATTTTATTATTCCCAAAAATATTCCGAATGCATGTAAATATAGGTCAAAGCATTTAAAATCGTTATTATAACATCGATAAATGTTAAAGCATTATCGGCTCGAACCTTCTGCCGGGTACACAACCAACTAGCGGGAGCAGTTTGGAACTCCCGAGACCAATAGCGTCACGATTTATGCCTTGAAGGTTGGGAGCAATGCGTGACATGGAGTTATTTATTGGTCAATCTGGTTATCTCAAAGATAATAAAAATGCGGAACATCATATGACGTATCAGCCAAAAGAAATACTTAATGCAAAAAAATAATCCGGCATTGATTGAAGTATAAATGCCCTTTTAACACCCGACACCGTCACCAAACCATGCGTTAATATATCTTATCTCAACATGAAAGAGACGAGACCGCTCGATGTTCACCTTCTCGCCCGTTGATTGGTCGCTCACGGGGATGGCCCGTCAAGTCGATCTCGGCGCGAGATCAGGTTGGTGAGAGTTGGCAGAATCGACGGAGTACGTCGCACCAACATCGATCCCGAGAACGTGTTCACGAACGGCGGCGAACGCAGTCTACTCGACTACTCACTCGGAGGCGAATAAACTCGGAGGTTACTAATAGTACACCGGCAAGGCGATTTCGCGATTTCGTTCCGCACTTTCGCAGCCGGACACGATGTGGGTACTAACGCCGGATACTCAGTGCGCCAAAGACAGGAAACGCCGTCGCCACAACGACAACGACAACGACAATGACGATGACGACGGCGGTGGTGGTGGCGGCGGCGGCGGCGGCAGGCGTCCACGGGACGTGCGCTGTGCGAGAATGCAAACGAATGCGCAATGTGTCTCGTGTGCACGAGGCTTCAGGCTGCCAGATGTGAGGTCGTCCCTCTCTTTATCTATCTTTTTCTCTTTCTTCTCGTCTCTCGTCGCTTGTCCCTTTATTTCGTTCTTCCGCTCGCCGGCGAGGTCTTAGGTCATGAGCTCTATCGACACCGCATGGCCATCTCCCTTTAGGGTGACTTTGACCAAATTCCGATCGATTTAATTGAGTTTAACTTGTCAAGTAACGCCTTTAAAATGCATGATTCTGTTAACATAAATGAAATTATTAATTTTTTATTATTCAATATACGAGAGGAAAAAGTTAAATCAGAAATATATAATGACGGATGATGTCACAATCTTAGTCCGATGTAGCGCGTAATCAGCTGTTAACATCGATCGAAGGCCATGCATTGCCGCCAGCGTTCTCGCATCATCGATTGCTAAAATTCTCGATTCATTCTCGAAAAAGCGAGACCTGAGGAAAAGCACTATCGCAGCACGATAGCGGCCAATGACGCGCGAGCGTAAGGAAACGGCGCCTCCCTATTGGTAGAACTGTTAAATATCGCGCATCTCGATCATTTTTGCACATTTTCGAGAGTCGAAACATCTGTTCGTTTTGAAACTAGACGTAACAATATATCAACGCGTATTGGAAAAAGAATAAACGAAAGGCTTGCGAGCGTAATATACAAATAACGAAACAAAGACTTTCCTTTCGAGCAGCCTTTCCTCACGCGACAACTTATCACTCCACCTCACCTGAATCTCCCGTTTCTCTCTTCGCGCCATTCTTACATCGAGAACAGCGTTCGCGGAATCTCGTGGAACTCGATCTAACGTCGTATCGCCGGTGAGTAATGAGAATCGAAGTCACGACCTCGTGTACATCGACGCGCTCACTCGCTCTCGCAGGCAAGCAGGCAGGCAAGCACGCACGCACGCATACGCACGCCGGCTCGTCGCGGTGGCGGCAGTTGCGGCGCCGGAGGGAGATACGCGCGCTCGCACACGCGGCCGCACGCACACGTATACGTGAATGTGGACGCACCGTCGCGGTCAACTCGTTTAAAGAGCCAAGACGACACTGGATTCCTAGTAAGGTGTGCTGCCGGCACGTTACAAAGGAGCAGCGTACGATCACGTTGCTCCGAGACGTTTTCCGAAGATCCTTCAATGCATTCAAATCGAAACGATGCTTTCTACCGGCAAAATGTTGCACGAGCACCGCGTGCTGACCTGACGGGACTAGGAAGTCGCGAATAAAACGCCATCGTCGCCACCGACGACGACGACGATGACGACGATGACGACAATGCGCGTCAATCTGGAGCGAGAAAGAGAGACGGAAGTAGCAAGTCGGCGCGAAGAGGTATGCGCTCTCCGCTCTCCGCCGCTTGCTCTCCGTCGCCGCGACCGCTCCGTCTCTCTTCCTCTCGGCTCGTTCCCGGTTTTTTTCTACTTACTTGGCTGCTCGCGCGAATGTGTGCGTTGCGCTGCACTATGCCGCGCGGCACAGTATTTTGAGACGGAGACCCGCGCTCTCTTCCGGGAGAAGATTCAGCAGGCCAGCACACGGCGCGCGGCGCGTGTCACAGGATGGTTAGAGCCGGTCATCCCCTAATCCGGGTGATCTCTCCCGATCGGCATACTCGCGTTCCGGCACTCTAGAGAGATATGGCACACGAAAGCACCGCGGCGGATGGCAAAATTGTGCCGGGGACAGAATGCCCTGAAAACGATGACGACGACAAACAGCCGCCAACGTTCTCGTGCTCTTTCTCGTCGTAGTTGGAAGAGTTTGCGACAGCCCAAATTGTCTCGAGATATACCTTAGATTATCGCGATCGTTCGCTCGTCCTTTCCCTTCGTGCCCTCGACCTCCTCCTCCTCCTC